CAACAACTACAGCGTCTGTTACGACAATGCCCTCACGTGTAAGATCGTTAACAGTATCTAGAATACTTGAGCCAGATGTAACCACATCTTCAACAATTAGGCACGTATCTCCAGCATTAAAAATTCCTTCAATTATTTTTTTTGTACCATAGTTTTTGGCTTCTTTGCGCCTCACAAGCATTGGCGTATTCTGTTGAACAGAGACAAGTGTTGCCAAAGGCAGCGCTGTGTACGGCACACCGCACACATGCTTCGCTGTCAGCTGTTGCTCTTTGATATATGATACCAACAAATCCGAGACTGTTTGCTAAGCTCAACAAAATTTTTATTTTCTTTGTTCAGAATTAAAGATCGCATTTTTCAACTCACCATTACTTCTGGAAAACTAACGATGACCCGTAAATCAAAATAAACTGGCGAATTTATACCGACTTTCATTTTAAAATCGCCAAATTTGAATGCATTTATCTCAAATAGTTTTATCGCCAGTGATTTCATTTGTGCCATATCTTTTGCAATCATGATTGTCTCCTTTCACTTCTAATTAAAAATATCCAATTTAGAATCTCATTTACAGCACAATTTACCACGCGTTTTTCAAATCAACACCGCGAAAACAGGTCCACTTTGCTTTGAAATTCCAACGCAAATGACATTCGTGTTAAAATTTATTTAGTACTCATCAAACAGAGTAAACAGTGATGCCATTTTTCTAAAATTGAATAATTTAATATTTTCATTTTCTTTTCAAACACTGAACGTACACATTGAAATAGCAATAATAGGAATTGTTCCCATTAGTACTTATAGGGAAATTCAAGTAAAAGTTACTATTCTCCTACTAAAAATCTATCTTATAAGACAAATTTTATCAAATTTATTTAAAAAACAGCTGATTAGTGTTATAAATATGAACAGAACAATAAATAAATAACGTTTTTTACTGTCAGTGTGCGAAAATTATATACTGAAGCAATTTCTAAATAAATTGTCTCGGATAGTGAGATTATTTGGATTGAGCTAATGAAGTAGCAAATATAATAAATGAAATGTTAATTTCTCTATGTGATATAGTCTACCAAAAAACAATAATTTGTGCAAACAATGACTGCGAACAATAGTATATGTATATATACTACGACAATCTTAGCCACCATAAATTTACTTTGTCAAATAAAAGTTTATAAAAGCCTTGAACCAAATCTCTGTCTATCCAAGTTATGCTTTTATCTACCACATCAGTACAAGCTTTATTTGTCATAATTAAAATTAAAATTAATAAAAAATACATATTAAAGTTAAGTAAGTTGATTTTCCAAAAGAGGAACATTTGGCTTTTACTTCAAAAGTATGTGAACAGACAAAGAGTTTTATACAATATTTGTAAATATTAAATTTATTACACAGATACCGATTTTTATAATACTAATATATTTTTTTTACGTATATTTAACAAAATATTATATGTGCTGTGATGCAAGTGTATTAATTACATTTTGATCTCAACAGAACGATACTTCAGTACGATACAGAACACGTTCCTTTTTGGGTTTGTAATGCCAAAAATTTTCCAGTCGTGTAATTTCACGTTTTAGCGATGTAAGTTAGGTATTGGAGTAATCACCACTGGATTTTTTTCCGTAGGACTACGCTAAAGAACGTTTCTATGCAGATGATCCTCAAATTGTCGTCGTTTTGAAAACAAACATACATAAAGTTAGGTCCAACTGTTGCTGTTGTTTTTTTTTTTTTCTTTAATAAGATACACTACCATAAGATGTTTCGTAGAGGACGTTAACGTCCAAACGTCCGAACAACATATTAAAGTTAATATTTTACTGGAATTTCAATTACAAATGTGAGTTATTTCTGTGATCCATGAAGGGATATATAAGTCTATATATAAATGAAAGCAATTAC